TTTTGTTCAGGGGGGGGGGAGAGGTGAGGGGAGACACGGGGACCCTCACTTGATACAGCCAGCGAATCCTGTAGCCCAGGGGTCTCCAAATGTGGCCGCTTTTAAGGCTTGTGGACTTCAACTCCCAGAATCCCCCAGCCAGCATGGCTGGCTGGGGGATTCTGGGAGTTGAAGTCCACAAGTCTTAAAATGGCTGCAGAGACCCCTCCCCTTGCTCTAGCCTGTGGGGGGAACTCTCTGCTTTCTCCCACTGTGGGTCAAAGTGGCAAACAAATACATCAGATCTGGGGGGGTGGGCTGTGGACATCAGATCTGGGGGGTGGGCTGTGAGGAGTGGGAGAGGCAGGTCACTGTTCCGACCTCACCAATGGCTATCAGCATCCCCCTGCCTGCATCCCGCCACCGATTCAGTCTCTGCTCCGGCCGCACCCTTAAGCTGGAACGCCGAAATAATAATAATAATAATAAAATTGGCCAGGTTCTTCTATCAACTCAACAAACCGAGATCACGGGGGGTGTGTGGGTCCAGCAGGGAACGACCCCCCGCTTCCCAAGGAGATGGCTGGGAGATTAGGCGCAGAGACTTGTGTGTGCAGGTGTGTGATGCAGAGGAACCAGGTTGGAGAGAGGTGAGAGTGTCGACACGCTTTGGAGGTGAAACGCTTGTGTTGGGCTTGGGAGAGTCCACAATCCCCAATCGTTTGGGGTCTTGTTCAGTCCCGGGGACGGAAAAGGTGGCGCGCCCTCGCCGCCACCGCCGCCGGACGGTTCCAGTTTGCGATGCCGGAGTGATGCTCAGGAGCTGTTGTCCTTCTGCAGGTCGAGGAGGAGCAGGTAGAGTTTTTTCGTGACGGCCACCTGAGGTGGAAGCAAACCGAGGTTTAAGTGGCTGGGGCTAGATGGGGAGGGAAGTAAAAGGATTGCAAGATTGGCTGGGAAACTGTCACAGAAGGTTGAAACTGAAGATCGCGCGACTGCGACAGCAGCCCAACAGCACTGAAACAGCCATAGTTTGCCCAAATTTCATTACTTTAGGAGCCCTGAGTCCCTGATCGGGGACACCTTCTTTAAGTCAGCCCACCTGAGGCACCTTGGTTTCAAAATTATTGCCTTATGATGCACTGTTTCACCCAGGTAAAGGTCATAACAACCAAGAATTTTAGCAGCATACAGATAGAATGGAAGAATAGAATAGAATAACAGAGTTGGAAGGGACTTTGGAGGTCTTCTAGTCCAACCCCCTGCTCAGGCAGGAGACCCTACACCAGTGTTTCTCAACCTTGACAATTTTAAGGCATGTGGACTTCAACTCCCAGAATTCCACAGCCAGCAGTTGAAGTCCACATGCCTTAAAATTGTCAAGGTTGAGAAACACTGCCCTACACCATTTCAGACAAATGGCTGTCCAGTCTCTTCTTAAAAACTTCCAGTGTTGGAGCATTCACAACTTCTGGAGGCAGGTTGTCTGGTTAATTGTTGTGTCAGGAAATTTCTCCTCAGTTCTAGGTTCCATATATCTATATATCTATATATCTATATATCTATATCGATAGATAGATAGATAGATAGATAGATAGATAGATAGATAGATAGATAGATAGATAGATAGATAGATAGATAGATAGATAGATAGATAGATAGATAGATAGATAGACGGACGGACGGATAGACAGACAGAATACGTAGGTAGGTAAGTAGGTAGGTAGGTGGGGGGGAGAGAGAGAAAGAGAGAGAGCGAGAGAGCAGGACAGACACATAGATTGATAGATGATATATAGATGATAGATATAGATAGATGATAGATAGATAGAGATATAGATAGATAGATAAATAGATATAGATATAGAAGATATAGATAGATTAGATAGATAGATGATAGATAGACAGACAGACAGACAGAGAGGGGGAGAGGATATTAGAGTCCCAAATTCTGCCTCTCCTTGATCTATTTTATGCTCCCTAATGGTCCAACATCAGCGGCCTTTCTTTCTATCTAATGTGGCCTTTTTGAGCAAAATGGGATTTTAAGAGAGGGTTCGCCCCCCCCCCCCGTTTCCTCCCCATCCCCCATACCTGGTAGGCCTCCGGATCCTGCAGCCTCTTGTGGACAGGATTGAGCTTATCCAAGGACCTCTGAGCGTGAGCCTTGATCTCCCTGACGTTGGGGAGGGCCTGGCAAATCTTTGGGATGAGAAAAGCAGAACAAAAAGAGGAATATGAACCAAGGGGGTCCTACCTTTCGCCTGTATTCCGCTTCGCTGGCAGCCTGACCGAGGAAAGGGGGAGGAGGGGGGGATGGAATGCAAGGGGGGGAATTGCATCTGAGCATCCAGGACCCACCGAGCAGGTGGACTAGCGTGGCTGGCTGGTTTCCCACAACAAAATGCACAGAAGTGGACGTGATGGACTCTGGGTGGCCCACAGGGAGAGGGGGAAATTAACTATGCTAGCTTTTCCCAAAGGATGCTTTTTTTTCAGGAGGTGACTGGACTTTTTTGTTTTTTTCCTTGAAGACGTTTCGCTTCTCATCCCAGAAGCTTCTTCAGCTCTGGCTGGATGTTGGGGGATGGAAGGATTTATACTCCTTCCAGACTTACTTTCTTTTTCTTTCTTTCTTTCTTTCTTTCTTTCTTTCTTTCTTTCTTTCTTTCTTTCTCTTTCTTTCTTTCTTTCTCTTTCTTTCTTCTTTCCTTCCTTTTTCTTTTTTTCTTTTCTTTTTCTCTTTCTTTCTTTCCTTCCTTCTTTCTTTTCTCTCCTTCGTTCCATCCTTTCCTTCTTTTTTCCCTTTCTTCCCTTTCTTTCTTTCTTTCTTTCTCTTTCTTTCTTTCTTTCTTTTTCTTTCCTTCCTTCCTTCCTTCCTTCCTTCCTTTCTCTCTTTCTTTCTTTCTTTCTTTCTGTCTCTCCTATCCTTCTCCTTTATCTCCCATCTTTCTCTTCCCCTTTCATCCTTCTCCCAAAGATGCTTTTTCAAGAGGCAACTGGAGGGCCGTTGAGGCCACATGGAGGTTTGTCAAAATCTACATTTTGGACAGAGAGGACTGCTGGTTTGAAAGAGGGGGTCCAAGAGGCCATCTGTGTCCAAATTGAACGCCCCTCCCTCAACAGAGGGGGAGGGATAGGACATCATCTATCTCCAGTCTACAACACGGTCCTTTCAGCAGTTCCAAGAAGGCTCCACATCCATTTGCACTACTCAGGTGACCCTGAGGATACAGATAAACCTCCAAGCGGCCTCAACGGTTCTTTAAAAGGAGGCAAATGACCGGCTGTCTGCAAGGAGTATAAATCCTTCCATTCACCACCCTCCAATCAGAGCTGAAGAAGCTTCTTGGATGGGAAGCGAAATGTCTTCAGAAGAAAAACAAGAAAGTCCTGCATCTTGGGCCTAAATACGATCTGGATAACTAACAACCTTCCTAGACACATGCTAGCTTTTGTGTGGGAAACCGAGAGCTGGTTTTGCTCCCTTCTGTGCCCATGTGGTGCATTCAGTAAGGTTTTCTACTTTGGGTCAAATAATGTCCCAGGAATCTCTTTTTCTGGATCCCACCAACTGGACAGTGGACACCTTTTCTATTTTTGTTGTTAATTGCGAAGTCGTGTCCGACCCATCGCAACCCCATGGACAACGTTCCTCCAGGCCTTCCTGTCCTCTGCCATCTTCTTGAGTCCATTGAAGCTCACGCCTCCTGCTTCAGGGACTCCATCCAGCCACCTCCTTCTCTGTCGTTCCCTTCTTCTCTTGCCCTCCATCTTTCCCAGCATTAGGCCCTTCTCCAGGGAGTCCTTCCTTCTCATTAGGTGGCCAAAGTCCTTGAGTTTCAACTTCAGGATCTGGCCTTCTCAAGAGCAGCAAACACAGGGAGTCCTGGACTTACAATCGTTCGTTTAGTGACCGTTCAGAGATACGACGGCGCTGAAAAAAGCGACTGAGGACCATTTTTCACACTTGCAACCATTGAGGCACCCCCAGTGTGACATGATCAGAATTCAGATGCTTAGGACTGACTCTTTTACAGCATCCTGGGGGGTTTCCACGGGATCGCTTTTCCAGACCTTCTGACAAGCGAACTCCGTGGGGGAATCCGGATTCGCTTAACGGCCGCACGGTTCCCTTAAACGGCTGCAGCAATTCGCTGAACAACCCTGGCCAAATGGGTCGTAAAGTCAGGTGTGACTGACTCAGCAAACTCCGGTCGCAAGGACCAGAAGGAGGACGGCCTGCTCCATTGCTCGTCATCACCCAAATCTCCCCGTGGAAGAAAAGGCCACTTTAAGATCTTGTATTTCTCTCCTCTTTTGGGGATGAGATTCCATCACACCTGGGGGGGGGGGAGAAGCCCTGAGGTAATTCTGCCACAGGACAGCCTGGTTTCCCAAGAAAGGCAGAAGGAATTTGCCCCCTTACCTGTCCGTCTTTAAAATAGACGAGGTGAAGGATCTCCACGGAAGCAGGGACCACCTTCCCAGCCTTCTCGCTGGTGGTCAGCGGCCTAAACTCAACCTCCTGGCCAATCTCGGGGGCCGCCTCTTCTTCCAGGGCCATGAGGTCCATGCATGGGAAGCCTACAGAGAAGCAGAAGATGGAAGGGGGTACAGGTTAGTTAGTCCTCGACTTACGACGGTTGCCGTAATTTCGGTCACTAAATGAATGGCCACCGTACAGCACAGCCTTCTTAGATTACTCAGTTAAGAGATCCCAGCTTGCAGGCAATCACGTGGCCATGCTCGGATGCAGAGAGGCTTGATTGCTTTTTGATTTCCTGCCCCCTTAATATTAATATGGGGACTGTCCTTACCATAGGCAGAAAATACCACATGAGGAACAGCTGCAACTATGTCTGATGACCTAGTCCAGGGGTAGGCAACCTTGGCTCTTTTGTGACTCATGGACTTCAACTCCCAGAATTCCTGAGCCAGCATGGGGGAACTATGGCCCCTTCATGACTTGTGGACTTCAACTCCCAGAATTCCTGAGCCAGCCACCCTGAGGGGAAAGGGAGAGGTTTCCAAGCTGAGCCATGCTGGCTCAGGAATTCTGGGAGGTGAAGTCCACGAGTCATAAAAGAGACAAGGTTGCCTACCCCTGCTCTAAACTAATAAAGTTTATTAACATTAATTATGCTTTCATATGTTCCTCTAACTGAGAGGTTTTCAAACTTGGCCCTTTTGTTATGTGTGGACTTCAACTCCCAGAATTCCTGAGCCAGCCATGCTGAGGGGAAAGGGAGAGGTTTCCAAGCTGAGCCATGCTGGCTGAGGAATTCTGGGAGTTGAAGTCCACCAGTCATGAAGGGGCCAAAGTTTCCCTCATGCTGGCTCAGGAATTCTGGGAGTTGAAATCCACGAGTCATAAAAGAGCCAAGGTTGCCTACCCCTGTCCTAAGTCCTCCTGTTCTAAGCAGGGACTTCCTAGCCCAGGGGCAGGCAATCTGGGCTCTTTTATGATTTGTGGACTCCAACTCCCAGAATTCCTGAGCCAGCCACGCTGAGGGGAAAGGGAGAGGTTTCCAAGCTGAGCCAAGCTGGCTCAGGAATTCTGGGAGTTGAAGTCCATGAGTCATGAAGGGGCCATAGCTCCCCCATGCTGGCTCAGGGATTCTGGGAGTTGAAGTCCACGAGTCATAAAAGAGCCAAGGTTGCCTACCCCTGACCTAGTCTACACCTTCTCTAGCCTATCCAAAAGCATCATGGGAAGCCTGGGTTGACCATGGCTGGGGCTGGGGGTCAATATCTGTGAGCTTTTTTTCCCTTATCTCATACGTTTATCATTTTAGCTTACCATTTCTAAATCTTTTTTCTGGAAAGGAAGTAGCATGGCAGGTACATATCTCTGCAAGAATGGATGGAAGAATTCAGATTCTAAATCGGGTGTGTGTGTGTTTGTCTGTGTGTGTGTCCAACCTTGGCCACTCTAAGACCTGTGGACTTTTAAGATTTGTGGACTTCAACTCCCAGAATTCTTCAGGCAGCAAAGACCTACAGCAGGGGGTGTCCAATTCTTGGCAACTTTAAGATCTGTGGACTTCAACTCCCAGAATTCCCCTTGGCAACTTTAAGATCTGTGGACTTTTAAGATTCGTGGACTTCGACTCCCAGAATTCCCCTTGGCAACTTTAAGACCTGTGGACTTTAAGATTCGTGGACTTCGACTCCCAGAATTCCCCTTGGCAACTTTAAGACCTGTGGACTTTAAGAGTTGTGAACTTCAATTCTCAGAATTCCCCAGCCAGCCACGCTGGCTGGGGAATTCTGGGAATTGAAGTCCACAGGTCTTCAAGTTGCCAAAGTTGGACATCACTGTTCTAGATGACCCTTTGGGGAGGCTTGCACACCACATGGCTCCTTCACAAACTGGGCCACAGGTAGCCACAGTACCTCCACCCCCAACTCTACTTCCATCAAGCACTGAAGGTCTCTGTTAAGAAAATTCTCGCCTTTCAAAAATACCAGGAAGTTGGGTAGTGAGTTCCGGTCAAAGTTGGTCAACCCAACTCACCTGCATCATCCCAAAGTCTGTAGACCACTTTCCGTCCAGGCAAGGTTGTCTTCTCTGGGTCTTCAGTCACTTTCAGCCTCGGAGAACCGTTGACTTCCACCAGCTGAAGATGGAGCAAAAACGCAAGGAAGTTAATGACGCTTGACCTCATTGAGGACCCCCTGCGCTCAGATATGTGGTACCCTGCCTTATCGGTGAGAGGCATGGCATATAAATTTAATAAATAAAACGGTGTAATTAGAGGTCCTTGGTGCTCTCTGAGCTTAGCTGGTTTCTTGCAGACGTTTCGTTACCCAAGTAGGTGCTAGCCTTGAGGATGTTCCCTAGCTGGGTAATGAAACGTCTGCAAGAAAACAGTCAAGCTCAACCAAGGACCCCACAGTCTTTTTCCTCCTCTCTCCTTCTCCTCCATACACCCCACTTTCTCCTAGCATGGATGATGTTACCTAATTTGGGTCATGAAACGTCTGCAAGAAAACCACCCAGCTCGGAGAGCACCAAGGATCCCTCATTACAGTATTTTATTTATTAAATTTAATAAATAAATTCATCCTTCCCTTCTCCTCCTCCTCCTTCATAAACCCCATTTTCTTCTAGCATGGATGACGTTACCTAGTTTGGGTCATGAAACGTCTGCAAGAAAACCGCCCAGCTCGGAGAGCACCAAGGACCCCTCATTACAGTATTTTATTTATTAAATTTAATAAATAAATTCATTCTCCCCTTCTCCTCCTCCTCCTCTTCCTCCTTCTCCTCCATAAACCCCACTATCTTCTAGCATGGATGATGTTACCTAGTTTGGGTCATGAAATGTCTGCAAGAAAACTACCCAGCTCGGAGAACATCAAGGACCCCTCATTACAGTATTTTATTTATTAAATTTAATAAATAAATTCATCTCCTCCTCCTCCTCCTCCTTCTTCTAGAGTCAGAAGCTCTAGACCAGAGGTGGAGAACGATGGTCCCTTGACAGCTTGTGGACTTCAATTCCCAGAATCCTTGGGCTTCTCCAGCTCAAACTCCCGGAATTCTGGGAGTTGAAGTCCACAAGTCATCAAGGGGCCATCGTTCCCCACCTCTGCTCTAGAGATGGGCCCGTCTCCCCTACCCCACAGCAGAGTTCCTGGCTTGCAAAGGCTGCCCTAGAGAAGCAATCTGGCCTTGGCCAACCCCCCCTCGCCCCCCCCAAGAGCAGAGGGGTTAGTTACCTTGTAGACGCAGCCTAAGGTTGTCTGAAGGGGACACGTGACCAGGTGGGTCCCAACGCCAATCATATTGATTTCATTGCCCTGCGAGGAGCACAAAGAGACCAAAGAGGAACTCCTGAGCCCAGATTTACAGACTGATGACACACACAGACACACACACAGACACACAAATCTCACAAGGTCACACCAATTGGGGCGGGGCAGGCTTTTGAACCTCAGGGGAACGGTGTCCTCTCCTGGCATCACGGGGGCTGGAGGACCCCAAGTACAGACCATGTTTTATGACCCTCTATTACAAGGGGTCTTCAAACTGGGCCCTTTTAGGACTTGTGGACTTCAACTCCCAGAATTCCTCAGCCAGGATGCTTTAAGAGAGGGGTCGTCAAACTCGGCCCTTTTACGACTGGTGGACTTCAACTCCCAGAATTCCTCAGCCAGCATGGCTCAGCTTGGAAACCTCTCCCTTTCCCCTCAGCATGGCTGGCTCAGGAATTCTGGGAGTTGAGGTCCACGAGTCATAAAAGGGCCAAGTTTGAAGACCCCTGCTCTATTAGATCAGTAGCCTGGGTCTTCCTTCCCTCCTGTCTAATAATATAGGTTGTCCTTAACTTTCAACTATTCGTTTAGTGACCGTTCCAAGTTAACAATGGCACCGAAAAAACCAAATTCCGGCCTTTTTTCACCGAATTGTTTAAGCATCAAACTCAGGCACTCGTTTTTTTGTTTGTTTTTTAATTTTAATTTCCTATCAGTGTCCAAAATGTCTCTAATTGTTTCTAATTTCAGAGCAAGTTATATTTGGGTAACCCAAAGCTTCCCTTGTTCAAACTTATTCAAACACTCATGGGAAATTAAAATTTAAAAAAAAAAAAGCGAAAACAGGATACTGATTGAACATATGGAATGGAAATTTTGGGGCCAGTTGTGTAAGTAAGACGAGGACTTCCCTAATATAAACATGGGGTGATAACCCGGATTGCTCTGATCATTTCCAAAATAGAAGAAGTGCATTATTTGTATCACACCGCACCACTGTCACAACACAAGTAGTTCCTTCAGCGACTAAAAATACACAATATTCCATTTCGAACTGTGTACAGTCCTTCCTACCACACCCTTCTTTGGAAAAAGAATCATTTCCCCCTGTCCTTCGGCCTATGACTTTTAATTGTTCTATTACTCATATTTTTTTTCCTCGTTTACTTAGTTCATCCAATTCACACAGCAATCCATCTCCTGTGTGTGACTCTAAGCAGCTCACAAGTGAAAATAACAAAAAAAAAGCCACATCAATAACTACGTTAAAAGAGTTAAAATATTATATAATTAGAAAAACAACGCTTGGAATCCAGATCGTGGTTTAATCATTTTGTAGAACATGTTTAGTAGACGTCAGCTGCGCTTGCGCAATGCAGGTTCAAAAACACACACACACACACCCAGCAATTGCATTTTTACAATACCTTAAACTGGGTCACTTTTAAACTCAGTCTTTTATGCAAAACCAGCCAATTTGGTTCAACATTCAACGTTTGATGCAAATTTAGGAAATGCACTCAGTGTGCATTTGAACTATGAGAAATATACAATGTGAACATTTTAAGAGCGTTATCAGGATATTTATTAAAGTTTAGCTCTCTTCGGCTGGAAGGAAGGGGAATGTGTCAGAATTTAAAAAAAACGGGAATAGAACAGGAGAATTTTGACCACTGCAAACTTTTAGCACACCATCGCAATATTAATATACTGCTTCAGGTTTTGGTCACCACGCTACAAAAAAGATGTTGAGACTTTGGAAAAAAGTGCAGAGAAGAGCAACTAAGATGATGAAAGGCCTGGAGACTAAAACATATGAAGAACGGCTGCAGGATTTGGGTTTGGCTAGTCTAGAGCAGAGGTAGGCAACCTTGGCTCTTTTATGACTGGTGGACTTCAACTCCCAGAATTCCTGAGCCAGCATGGCTCAGCTTGGAAACTCTCCCTTTCCCCTCAGCATGGCTGGCTCAGGAATTCTGGGAGTTGAAGTCCATGAGTCATAAAAGAGCCGAGGTTGCCTACCCCTGTCCTAAGTCCTCCTGTTCTAAGCAGTGAGCCTCCTAGACCAGGGGTAGGCAACCTTGGCTCTTTTATGACTCGTGGACTTCAACTCCCAGAATTCCTGAGCCGGCATTGCTCAGCTTGGAAACTCTCCCTTTCCCCTCAGCATGGCTATCTCAGGAATTCTGGGAGTTGAAGTCCACGAGTCATAAAAGAGCCAAGGTTGCCTACCCCTGGTCTAGAGAAAAGAAGGACTGGTGGGGAGGACATGATAGCAAAATTCCAATAATTGAGGGGCTGCCACAAAGAAGAGGAGGGGGTCAACTTATTTTCCAAAGCCCCTGAAGGCAGGACAAGAAGCAACGGATGGAAACTCATTAAGGAGAGAAGCAACCTGGAATTAAGGAGAAACTTCCTAACAGAACAATTAACCAGTGGAACAGCTTGCCACCAGAGGTTATGGCTGCTCCAACACTGGAGGTTTTTAAGGAGAGATTGGACAGCCACTTGTCTGAGATGGTACAGGTTCTCCTGCTTGAGTGGGGGGCTGGACTAGAAGACCTCCAAGGTCCCTTCCAGTTCTATTCTATTCCAAACCTCACTGCAAAAAGTAAGAAAGCTTTGGGGACCCAGACAGCATCCTAAAATATTCCAAAATATTCCTCCACCCCATCCCAAGATGCTTCGGCATATCCTCACCTCTTGAGATAATTCTTCCAAGCTCTGTTCGCTGACATCGTTGCTTACCGTGATGGGTATCGTCTCAAACCATGGAACCTGGAAACTGGAAGGGAAGACATAGGGGTTAAGAGACACCCCCTTTTTCAGAACCCCCTCATTTTTTCTGCTCCAACCCACAGCCGCATCTGCAGCCTATAGTACCAAGGGGGTCCAGCTTTCTCCATCAAGACTTTCTTAGTGCCCCAAAAACAGAAATATACCTTAATTTATCCCACAATAGATAAATGGCTGGAAAAAAAAGTGATGGAACTAGCACAGATGGCTAAATTGCCTGCTCAAACCTAAGAAAATAATACATCCAATTTCATTTTCTACTTGGAAGCCACTTCTGGATTTTGTGCCCGCCATGTAAAAAAAATAATAATAATGAAATTTTGAATTTGGATTTTGCTGACCAGGTAGGTTTGTTGTTAGTATAGGATCAGCGTCAATTGGGGTAGATAAGAAGTTGTAGATTTTTATACGTGTTCATTACAATAAGAGATTGTTAACAGAAGGCTTTGAGGTTTAACTTTGCCAATGATTAACCCATTCACTATTTTTTTCTTTATATATAGAATATAGGACAGGTCAGATTGGGTTGGAAATAGGTGTAGAGGCATATAAATTTTGGACCTGTTTTGCAAGGGGGGGGGGAAAGCTATTATTTTTGCAATATATCTGTCAGTGTTCAATTGGGGGGGGGAGATAATATCTATTTTTGCTTTTTGTCCTTTTAATTCGCATCTTTTTTAAAAAAAAAATGTTTTGGTCTGGTTTGGTTTCGTCCTTGTGAATTATTTCCCCTTTTGTATTTTGTATTTTAATACTTCTGAATAAAACAGTACAAAAAGGAAACATGAGTTTGTCAAAGTAAAAAGTTCAGGCTGTAATGTTATTACAGGGAGTCCTCGGCTTACCACGACAATTGGGTCCAAAATTTCTGTTGGTAAGTGAATCAGTTAAGTGAATTTTGTCCCACTGAATAACCTTTCTTGCCACAGTTGTTAAGTGAATCACCGCAGTTCCATTAGTCACACAGTCGTTAAACAGATCCGGCTTTCCCACTGACCTTGCATGTCAGAAGGTCGCAAAAGAGATCACATGACCCCTTTTACAACCGTCGTAAATATGAGTCACTTGCCTATTGTCTGAATTTTGATCACAGGATCATGGGGATGCTGCAGTGGTTGTAAGTCTGAAAAACGGTCAAAAGCCCCTTTTCCCACTAATTTCAAACAGTCACTAAACCAGCTGTTGTAAGTTTGTTGTAAGTCTCTCATTTTACGGCGCTAAAAAGAGCCGAACGTCAATGATGCAATTCTCTTTTCCTCTTTATTCTACACTTGTCTTCCTTTTTTCCTCTTGCTTTCCCACGATTTTCATTTTCTTTTGTGTTTTGTATCAAAATAATAATAATAATAATAATAATAATAATAATAATAATAATATCATCATCATCATCATCATCATCATCATCATCATCATCATCATCAAACATCCACATCTGCCTATCCCAGATCCTTGGTAAGGATTAAGTAGGTAGACAAAAATGCCAAATCTAGTCTGAACATCTGGCTGACTATGCGATGATCAGTAATAATAATAATAATAATAATAATAATAATAATAATAATAATAATAATAATAATAATAGACGAGAAAGAACTGGAGAAGATAACAAAATACAGAGACCTACAAATAGAAATAGAAAGACTTTGGCAAAAGCAAGCAAAGGTAGTACCAATAGTAACAGGCGCCTTGGGTGCCATCCCAAAACAACTGGAGCACCACTTGAACACCATCATTGGCATTGACAAATTCACCATTAATCAATTGCAAAAGGCGGCCTTACTAGGAACTGCTTCCATCCTGCGACAATATCTGCAATACCATCAAACATCCACATCTGCCTATCCCAGGTCCTGGGTAAGGACTCGATAGGTAGACAAAAATGCCAAATCCAGTCTGAACATCTGGCTGACTGTGCGATGATCAACAACAACAACAATAATAATAATAATATAGACTCGTAGTGCCAGGGATTGAATCTGAATCCAGATGAATGATCTAGAGATGGGAAGGCCTGGAAAAAAACTGGAAAACTTGGGGAGGGGGGAAGTTGTTTTAAATGGGGGAAAAAAACCCTTCTTTTTTCCTAATTTTTCTGGGTTTTTTCCGGGCCTCCCCATCCCAAGGGTGGATGTTCACCCCTTCCTTATCAGCAGCTCCAAAGGTGAAGTTGACGTTTTTGTAAAATCTAAACTCTGCCAGGTGAGTAATGAAACCTGGGATCAGCCACCCCCACCCTCAACTCACTGCTTGCTGCAGGTGCGAAAGATGTGCCGGATCTCCACCGACTGCTTGGCCAGGTCTCCGCTGTCCAGCCGGACTCCGATGGCTCGGTATCCTAGCTTGTTCAACGCCAGGGCGACAGCACAAAAGTTGGGGATGCCACTCCTGAGAAGATCAAGGCCATCGGTCAGGCTCTCTGAAGGAGACCAGAGGGCCTTCAAGACCTACAGTGGACCCCTTCTTCTTTTTTATAAACATTTTATTAATTTTCTAGTTTTACAATCAAATACTTAACAGACAAAGTGTTGTCTGGGCCTGTTAGTAATTCAGTGGTCTATATTAACTTCTTTAATCTAGATCAGGGGTAGGCAACCTGGGCTCTTTTATGACTCGTGGACTTCAACTCCCAGAATTCCTGAGGCAGCCATGCTGAGGTGAAAGGGAGAGGTTTCCAAGCAGAGCCATGCTGGCTCAGGAATTCTGGGAGTTGAAGTCCACGAGTCATGAAGGGGCCATAGTTCCCCCCCGCTGGCTGAGGAATTCTGGGAGTTGAAGTCCACGAGTCATGAGGGGGCCATAGTTCCCCCCCATGCTGGCTCAGGAATTCTGGGAGTTGAAGTTCCCGAGTCATGAAGGGGCCATAGTTCACTCATGCTGGCTCAGGAATTCTGGGAGTTGAAGTCCACGAGTCATGAAGGGGGCATAGTTCCCCCATGCTGGCTCAGGAATTCTGGGAGTTGAAGTCCATGAGTCATAAAAGAACCAAGGTTGCCTACCCCTGATCTAGATCCAATATTACACCATCAAATGTTTCTCCTCTCTTCTTCCGCTAGTGCCTGTTTTCCCGCGTTAGGCAAATTGACTTGGAAAGTTTTCTAGAATAGAGCTGGAAGGGACCTTGGAGGTCTTCTAGTCCAGCCCCCTGCTCATGCAGGAGAACCTACACCATCTCAGACAAGTGACTGTCTAGCCTCTTCTTAAAAATCTCCAGTGATGGAGCACCCAGGATTTCTGGAGTTGGCAAAGGAAGAAAGCTAGAGTAAGGCTGAAGAAAACAGAGGTTTTGATCCACTAGATGGGATATTATATTATTAACTAGATGTTTGAAGATGGTGGAGAATAGATAATGGCTAGGAATGGAAGTATTATCATAACTAGAAAGATTTGTAATGAGAATATTAGATTTTGGTATGAGATGGGAAACAGGAACATGTTAAGAAGTTTGAAGAACGGAAGCTTTGGGTTACCCAAATATAACTTACTTTGAAATGATAAACAATGGAGACATTTTGAACACTGAGGGGAAATTAAAATAAAACAAAATAAAAAAGCGAAAACAGGATACTGATTGAACATGTGGATATTAGGTGCAAATGCAATTAAGATATGTTTTGGTTAGAAAAGTTATCTAAACCGGACATTATTGATCTGATGAGAAAAATGGAGCAAAGATGTTGATATTCAATTGTATATTTATTAATATTTATTAATATTAATAATTCTCCTTTATAGGTAGTCCTCGGCTTATGACCCAAACTGCCTTCTTCTAGATCAGGGGTCTTCAAACTTGAGCCCTTTGATGACTTGTGGGACTTCAACTCCCAGAATTCCTCAGCCAGCCATGCTTTCGGTTCATGCAGTCTAGGTCAGGGTTCTTCAAACTTGTCCCTTTTATGACTTGTGGGACTTCAACTCCCAGAATTCCTCAGCCAGCTATGCTGGCTGAGGAATTCTGGGAGTTGAAGTCCACAAGTCATAAAAGGGACAAGTTTGAAGAGTCCTGTTCTAGATGTTGTTTTGGCCTTCAGGATTCCTTAGTGGTCTCCCCTCCAAGGCCTGGCAGCCCTCTCCCAGCTTAGCTTCTGACCTCAGCCAAGGATGAGCAGGCCAGCCCCACCCCAAACCACAGCCCCTCAAGATTCCACCTAAAAGTGGGGTTTTCAGCCGTCCTTTTTCTTACCTCATGACGCAGTAGGTGTCCACCAGCCCATGGAAGTTGTGCGGGTAGGCGATGGCGTAGGACATAAAGGCCGCCCGCTCTCCACAGCTCACCTTCTCCAGCGGGACTCGGAGTAATTGGCAGACTTGGGTCAACCACTCATCCACTAAAGTGGGAAAGTCCACGGGTTCCTTCCCAGTCAGTGGCAGCAGACTCTACTGGGGAAAAGAGAGAGACTGCCCAACCCGCTTCTCCAGAAGGGCTACGACTTCAACCACCATCTTAAGAGCCTGGGATCTCTTTGGCCCTGGCTCGGAAGGGACCTTCCACAGATGCTTCTCGGAGGACTAATTGGGGTCCCTCAGCTGATAAGAGGATTTTCTGTGGCTATTTGCTAAGATCTTTCACAAAGGTCCATGTCTTGTGTTTCTAAGGCCAAGACAGGAGGTTCACAAGACTGTGGATCTCCTTGCCCAAGAAAACCACCAAGCTCAGAGAGCACCAAGGAGAAGGAAGGGAGGGAGGGAGGGAGGGAGAGAGGAAAGAAGGTCAAATGTAATGTTACCTAGTTGGGTCATGAAACGTCTGCAAGAAAACTACCAACCTCAGAGAGCACCAAGGAGAAGCAAGTTGGGAAGGTGTTCTATCCCAGCCTATTGCCGTCCTTGTTAGAGGCACAAGGACCAAACCCCTGCTGATACAATAGGCTGGAAACTTTAAAACAAAACAAAATCCCTTTTATTTGGGTGACAATCCTGTCAATAAGTCCAAAACACAAACAGCAAATCTCAAGTCCAAAGGAAGGAAATAGTCCACAGGAACACGTTGCAAGCAAGACNTCAGAAACACGACTGGAGGGGCCAGGCTCTTCATCAAGCCGTGAGTCTTGTAATTCATCAGAGCCTCCCTCTGATGGCCCCTCAACGGCCTCCTCCACTTCCTCCTCAGATTCCTCAGACTCAGCTGTTGGGAACACAGGCTGACACGGAATCACAACAGGAAGGTCAAAGATAATGTTACCTAGTTGGGTCATGAAACATCTGCAAGAAAACTACCAACCTCAGAGAGCACCAAGGGGAGGGAAGGAAGGAAGGAAGGAAGGAAGGAAGGAAGGAAGGAAGGAAGGAAGGAAGGAAGGAAGGAAAGGATCACTGATGACAGTCTCTAGTTGGGTCACGAAATGTCTGCAAGAAAACCACCAAGCTCAGAGGAAAACCAAGGAACCAAGGAAAAGGGAGGGAGAGAAGGAAGGAAGGTAGATCACTGATGACGTTCCTTAGTTGGGTCATGAAACGTCTCTCTCTCTTTATCTTCAATGGTCTTTAGATCCACAGAGAAACCTCTGTTTTCCCCAGAACAGGCAACAACTGAACTTCTGTCTTCTCACCCACCTTTAATTATCAAGGAAAGCAACAGGGCTTCATGATTTCATAAAATTTTCTTTCTATATTTGCATCTAGCTTGGGATCAAGCCGAGATGGAGAGCTCAACAATGCACATAACAGATAATAATAATAATAATAATAATAATAACAACAACAACAACAACAACAACAACAACAATAACAATAACAATAAAGTTGGAAGGGACCTTGGAGGTCATCTAGTCCAACCCCCTGCTCAGGCAGGAAACCCTATACCATTTTGGACAGATGGTTGTCCAGTCTCTTCCTAAAAACTTCCAGTGTTGGAGCATTCACAGCTTCTGGAGGCAGGTTGTTCCACTGGTTAATTGTTCTAACTGTCAGAAAATTTCTCCTTAATTCAAGGTTGCTTCTCTCCTTGATTAGTTTCCATTGCAAACTAAATTTTTAAGAAGAGACTGGACAACCATTTGTCTGAAATGGTATAGGGCTTCCTGCCTTAGCAGGGGGTTGGACTAGAGTGTCCTGCTTGAGGAGGGGGCTGGACTAGAAGACCTCCAAGGTCCTTCCAACTCCTCCTCCTCCTCCTCTTCTCCTTCTCATTGTTGTTGTTGTCGTTGTTATTATTATTATTATTATTATTATTAATTATTATTATTATTATTATTATTCCGTTCCACTGGTTAATTGTTCCAACTTTTGGGAAATTCCTCTTTAGTTCCAGGTTGCTTCTCTCCTTGGTTAATTTCCATCCATTCTTTCTTGTCCTGCCCTCTGGTGCTTTGGAGAATAATTTCACACACACAGAGACACACACCCCTCTTTGTGGCAGTTTAACCACAGTGATCTTTTGGGGAACGTCTCTCGTCACCACCCCGAATACTAACCCGTAGGTTTACGTCATCCACGGAGGTGAAGGAAGACACGTAGGAATGAGCCAACGTTCCTTGGACTGGAATTCCGTAGAGTTTCCCGGCGAGGACGTTGCTGGTGAAATCAAAACCTGGAAAAGGTTTATTTGGAAGATGGAAGGGGGGGGGGAGAATTAGGACACAGGAGGAGAGGAGCTGAGAGAGAACATCCGAGGGTCTCAGCCAGCCCTCTGCAGAACCCCTGGGGCTACGGAATGACTGTCTGAAGTCACAACAGCACGGGAAAAAGTAACTTATGACCAGTTTACACTCTTGAGGGTTTGCAGTATCCCCATGGTGGTCCTCAACATACGACCGTTCGTTTAGTGACTGTCTGAAGTTGCAGCGGCAATGAATCAAGTGACTTTGGACCGTTTTTCACACTTACGACCGTTGCAGCATTCTCCCAGGGTCAAGCGATGGGACGCTTGGCAACTCCTCATACTTATGACGGTCGCAGCGTCCCGGGGTCACGTGATCCCCTATTGTGATCCCTTTTAATGGGGATTCACTTAACAACTGTGTTACTGATTGAGCCACCACAGTGATTCACTTAAAAAGTGGGGCAAGGAAGGTCGTAAAATGAGGCACAACTCAACATATGTCTCACTTAGCAACGGAAATTTGGGGCTCAGTTGTGGTCGCAAGTTGAGGACCACCTGTACTTATCCTGGGGTCACCTGTTCCCCTTTTGCGACCTTCCAACAAGCAGAGTCAGAGGGAGGACCAAACCACCGCGGGAGTCCAGGTGGTGACTGCGAAGGGTCAGTTTGGACAATATCGCCCCAGAGGGTCAAATTGTGGTAGGGTCCAAACTTTCTCATTTGGGGCCAAGTTTCCAATTTAACAGAAGGAAAATTCAAAGCCCACCTCTTATTAAGGATTGCCTAATTCTGTTTTTAACCACTTTTTGGAGCTGGAGATTTTGTGGTCCCAGCATGAGGAATCTTTCATTTACGTTATGTATTTTGCACAAGCAGGTGATACGGTAGATAGATAGGTAGATAGATGATAGATAGATAGATAGGTAGATAGATGATAGATAGATGATAGATAGATGATAGATAGATGATATAGATAGATAGATAGATAGATAGATAGATAGATAGATAGATAGATAGATAGATAGATAGATAGATAGATAGATAGATAGATAGATAGATAGATAGTGTTGTGGCTCCGTCTTGTGAGCCCCTCTTATCAGAGGAAGAAGGCTCCGAACATGAAGGAGAGGAGATGGCCAGGCCTCCCTCTCCAGGACCCTCCTCTTTGGCAATGCCTCAGGTGTCTTCCTACGGAGAAGAGATTGACCAGGAGCCAGGTGTTTCTCAGATTGGCCAGGAGCCAGGTGTGTCGGATAATGAGGAAGAGAAGTTGTGGCTGGATCCACGCCAGCGTAGGAGCGATAAGCGTGCGCAGCAGAAAAAGAGATGTGCCAGAGATTAAGCTGAGTCACTGGACCACACCCCACAGGCTATAAAAGGGTGGTGGTGGCCATTTGGACCTCTGTGACGGACAAAAGCTGAATCTCTGGCAAAGTAGTGTGCTGTGGCTTTAAACTGTGTGTATTGTTTTTGTTTCTGTGTGTTTGGAGTAAAAGGTCTTGGCAGGCAGCTACGGAGCTGCTGCCAAGTTTCTTATCTGTGAAGTGGTGTCTGGAGAAGTCTTTAACCCTCGGCTGGCTGTTTGGGTGTGTGGGTCGGAACGGGGACAGAACAGATAGACAGATAAATGATGGATGGATGGATGGATGGATGGATGGATGGATGGATGGATAGATAGATACAGACAGACAGACAGACAGATACATGATGGATGGATGGATGGATGGATGATAGATAGATAGATAGATAGATAGATAGATAGATAGATAGATGATGGATGGATGGATGGATGATAATGATAAAGATAGATGATAATGATAGATATGATATAGATGAAAGATAGATAATGATATAATGATATAGATAATGATAGATAGATAGATAGATAGATAGATGATAGATAGATAGATAAATAGATAGATAGATAGATAAATAATGTGGGAGATGAAAATATAGCCCCCTCCTCATATAATAAGATAGGGTTGGAACAAACCTGAAATAGGCCCCCACAGTAGTGATTTAAAGCTTGAACTTGAACTTTATGTTGTTTTGCAATAAGAACGTATTATTTGTAATCTGCTGAGCTTTGTGCAATATGAAATTGGAAAGTAGATAGGTCTATGTATATTTGGACCATGAGTATTTTAACAGTAAGAAATAGGGAACTGAAAGTAGCTGATGGATGTGGGTTCCAATGTACACGGGTATATGTGGAAAGTTATGTTCAGCAGGAGGTCAGTAAAAAGTCAGCAGAAGTCAGTGGACCATCTGACTACAGTCTTAGAACAGGAAAGGGTATAAAGAGTTGGGGTTTGCCATGATTGATTTGCCATTGGCCTATAGCTGTCCTATTGGAGTTTGCTATACCATATGGTCCTCATTACAATGGGTTGTTAATGTAAGTGATGTTGTATTATTATGCTACGTTCCAAATTATTAGCAAAATAAACCTCTGAGTCTTAAAGTAAGAATTGTTGTTTTGTGCTGCTGACTTTTGTCTTTTTTACTGGGTTTTTCCACGATAGATAAATAGCTCAATGAAAGATTGATTGATAGATAGATAGATAGATAGATAGATAGATAGATAGATAGATAGATAGATAGATAGAATAGCTCGATGATAGATAGATGGTAATGATAGATAGATAGATAGATAGATAGATAGATAGATAGATAGATAGATAGATAGATAGATAGATAGATATGGAGAGATAGATATGGAGAGATAGATAGATGATAGATAGATAGATAGATAGATAGATAGATAGATAGATAGATAGATAAGATAGATGGATGAATGGATAGATAGACAGACAGACAGACAGACAGATAGGACAAATGAGATGGATAGATGAATGACAGACAGAAAGATGAGATGCATGACTGACCGACAGATGATAGACAGACAGACAGATGATAGACGAATGATGGATAGATGAATGAGACAGACAGACAGTCAGGAGAGATCAGGGGTATCAAACTCGCAATGTCAGACGACGTGTTGCGATGTATCATGACTTTTTTGCCATTGCCGGCAATGGGGTGAGCGCGGTTTTGGCATGACGCATGCGGCCCGTGGACCGGCAGTTTGACACCCCTGGGATAGATGATAGCAATAGCTCATAGACAGATGACGTATACATAAATGATGAGAGAAAGACACACACACACACACACACACACACAGAGCGAGTAAAATCCAAAAATCTTGGTTCCTTTGTTCCGGCTCTCTATTCCAGAGGGTGGAAATCTAGCAGTTCTTTTAAAGAGACCAATTATCAATGCTGCTAACATCGGATGTTTTTGCTTTAACAGCAGATGGAGATATAGCCATTTTCTTCTTTTCGCTTTTAAAGTTAGATGATCCTGGGGATGGGGGGGGGGACGTGCATGAGAGTTCAGCTAAACATAACAATACTGAACCTAGCATGACAATCAAGGTTGTTGAAATAAGAGATGATAAGAATTGGCGGGCTGGAGAGCTGGAGGGAGACCCTGTGTTTCAAACTAATTGGAGAATGTGATTTATGACTGTTAATTGGAGGAGGGAATTGTGCTTTGATACTATGTGCTCAAGGGGGGGGGGATTCAGTTTTTGGCTTCGCTTATGTTACGATTCTCGAATAAAGATTCTTTTAAGGTAAACAACGCCTCGAAGTTCTTTGAAGAGTTTCGTCTGTCGGAACCAGGACACCAATTGTCAAAAGGGAGGCACTGCAAGCAAGCAAGCGAGTGCAGAGGGGAAGCAAGAAGATATTGGCGGGGATATTCAGGAGCCTTTCTTTGCTTCCACAAAAGGGACCGACACATTTCTAAGTCCTGAGAAACGAGGTCACATTTGGAAGCAGTGCCTGGGCAGACGCCTCCGATTCACGAGAATCTAAAGTGGTGCTGGAGAAGATTCCTGCGAGTCCCGTGGACTGCCAGGCGATCAAACCGGTCAGTCCTGGAGGAGATCAACCCTGACTGCTCTTTAGAAGGCCAGACCCTGAAGCTGAAACTCAAGGACTTTGGCCACCTAATGAGAAGGAAGGACTCCCTGGAGAAGAGCCTGATGCTGGGAAAGATGGAGGGCAAGAGAAGAAGGGGACGACAGAGAAGGAGGTGGCTGGATGGAGTCCCTGAAGCAGGAGGCGTGAGCTTAAATGGACTCCAGAAGATGGCAGAGGACAGGAAGGCCTGGAGGAACGTTGTCCATGGGGTTGCGATGGGTCGGACATGACTTCGCAACTAACAACAAAGTGGCTCGGCCATTCCCAATGAAAGCGGTTTTAGCCTTCCTGTGGAGTTGATCTCCGGGTCTGGTCTACCTCGGGGGTGGGGCTGACCTCAGGCCTCCCACAGTAGCCTTCAAGAGGAGAGTCACAAATCGGACCTTACCGCCCACGTAGGAGTACTTGGATGCCGAGAGGCCTCCGTCCAGCCCTTGAGCCCGACGCAGACCCATCTCCATCAGCTTCTTGTCCGGGCCGGCCGCGAGACGGAAGCGGGCGGCGTTGGTAGCCACCAGGCTGCAGAAGAAAAATCCAAACGAAGGAGGTCAGACCTGCCACCGCTTCAACCTCTGGATAGAAACGATCCTTGGCTCCATTTGTTGAGAAAGGTTTTATTAGAGGTCAAGTGTATTGCAGCATTGAGTAGCCAGGACTGAAAAACGCCCGTCAAAATCCCCAAGTTTTTATTTTTTAAAACAGTTTTATTAGATTTTATATGATTAGGGATAAAATGGGATCAGAGTTGGGGTTAGGATTGGGGTTATCCCCCAATAACATTTTCAATATTTAGCAAACAGGATTGTCTGGGTACATATATTTATAATAATAATAATAATAAAGTTGGAAGGGACCTTGGAGGTCATCTAGTCCAACCCCCTGCTCAGGCAGGAAACCTCTATACCATTTCGGACAAATGGCTGTCCAGTCTCTTCTTAAATAGCAATAGTAAATAGGATTAATTATCATAAGCAGTATTAATCAATCCATAACATCCTTCTTACTAATATGTATTCAGAGTTACCTATCACCTTCCTTTCTCTCTAATTCATTTTTCTAGCCATTGATAAAAGTTACACGATGTAAAAAAGATGCTGAGACTCTAGAAAGAGTACAGAGAAGAGCAACAAAGATGATTAGGGGACTGGAGGCTAAAACATATAAGGGACGGCTGCTGGAATTGGGTATGTCTAGTTTAATGAAGAGAAGGACGAGGGGGGACATGATAGCAGTCTTCCAGTATCTCAGGGGCTGCCCCAAAGAAGAGGGAGTCAAGCTATCCTCCAAAGCGCCTGAAGGCAGGACAAGAAGCAACGGGTGGAAACTGATCAAGGAGAGAAGCAACCTAGAACTAAGGAGAAACTTCCTGACAGTCAGAACAATTAACCAGTGGAACAACCTGCCTCCAGAAGCGGCGAATGCTCCAACACTGGAGGTTTTTAAGAAGAGACTGGACAGCCATTTGTCTGAAATGGTGTAGGGTTCCTGCCTAAGCAGGGGGTTGGACTCGATGACCTCCAAGGTCCCTTCCAACTTTATTAATATTATTATTATTATTATTATTATTATTATTATCATCATCATCATCATCTTTCTCTTTAATCTCTAAAGTCAATCTGTCCATTTCTGCACATTCTAAAATTTTCTTGATTAACACTTCTTCAGTTGGTAAATTTTCATTTTTCCAATACTGGGCAAATACATTTCTTGCTGCTGTTAATACACGTAATATCAAATATCCGCTCTCCTTCTCATAGTTAGCTCCTATTATTCCTAACAAAAACAATTCTGGTTTAAAATCTGTCTGGTTTTTTAGTCATCTTCTCCAACCATAGATGTATCTTAATCCAAAACTTTTTTGCTTTAGTACATGTCCAGCAGATATGATAGCTGATCTTTGTTTACATTTCCAACAGTTATTTGGAGTATTTTTAAACATGTTCGCTAATCTCACCGGTGTACTTTTCCCATCCTTAACTGCCCACCCCCATTGCCCACCCCCTTATAACCAACCAGGTTATGTTTTCACACTGATCAATGATCAGATTGGAAGATGACTCCCTCCTTCGTCCAGCCGAGTAACCTTGAAGCATAGCCTCCAGGAGACACAATGGCTACTTCCGATTTCCCAAACATTTCCCCCCCTTTATCCACATTCCCCCACCGCATAGCATAGCTTAAGGGGGCAGCTAACAGAGAATTAACTAGTTACCATAATATTACCTGCTCATCCACCCGTTACACAGAGCACTAATGCAGTTAAGGGCACCACAAGGACTGGCTGCATTTAAACATTTCTTTTAAATGTCTTTCTTTCCCGACGCACGTGACAATTTGGCACAAAATAATTCACCTCCGCATCTCTCAAAGAGCATTTGCAGAGCCTGGTGGACTTGGATGGACCGAACTAGCTAACATTTCACCCCCCAAAATATCCTGCGGAAATCTATACGTATGGACCCTTTACAATTAAATCTACAACCTCTGTTTTTTATTTATCTGTACATTACATAAAAACTTTTGTTCCTGTCATCTTTAACTGAGTGAAATGGTACATCGTACGGGAAATTTTTTTTTTGAACCAAGTATTTCAAATGGGATAGGTTGTAGAATTTGTCCAAAATTTGGGATCCAGGACTTCTGTGGAAATTATTATCTTAATAATAATAATAATAATAATAATAATAATAATAATAACAACAACAACAACAACAAAACAACAACAAAAAAAACAACAACAACAAATGATGATGATGATGATGATAAATAATAATAATAATAATAATAATAATAATAATAATAATAATAATAATAATAATAATAATAATAATAATAATAATAATAATGAAGTTGGAAAGGACCTTGGAGGTCATCTAGTCCAACCCGCTGCTCAGGCAGGAAACCCTGTACCATTTCAGAAAAATAGCTGTCTTCATTCAGTAAACCTTGAAATATCAATCTCGGATCCATTTTGGGGAGGGGGGAATTGTTAAATTTCACAGGAAAAGATATGCCCAATATTATAATATTGAAAAAAAAAACGGTTTTCAAAATGGGCTGGGGCGATTCGCCCTCAAAACGGGTTGTTTTTGAACTGGAAAGGTTTAAAATCTAAAATATAAAGTTGGAAGGGACCTTGGAGGTCACCTAGTCCAACCCCCTGCTCAGACAGGAAACCCTGTACCGTTTCAGACACATGGCTGTCTTCACTCAGTAAACCTTGAAATATCAAATCTCGGATCCATTTTTTGGGGGGAAATCGTTAAATTTCCCAGGAAAAGATATGCCCAATATTATAATATTGGGAAAAAAAGGTTTTCAAAAATGGGCTGGGGCAATTCGCCCTCAAAACGGGTCGTTTTTGAACTGGAAAAGTTTAAAATCTTAAAATATTCTACCCCTCACTTTGGGTCCCGACATGCCGAACCTCTACGGCTCCTCCTGCAGACTCACCTGGCGTAGTTCACCAGGCACAGCAAGGTGGTCTCCATCAGCTGGACCACCAACAAGGGGCCTCTCACCTGGAGTAAGGGCACCTGAACGGACAGAGAAGAAGCGGGCCGTGAGAGCAAATCCTTTGTAGCTGCTCAAGGACTGTTACCTGGGCTGCCCAGANACATGCCGAACCTCTACGGCTCCTCCTGCAGACTCACCTGGCGTAGTTCACCAGGCACAGCAAGGTGGTCTCCATCAGCTGGACCACCAACAAGGGGCCTCTCACCTGGAGTAAGGGCACCTGAACGGACAGAGAAGAAGCGGGCCGTGAGAGCAAATCCTTTGTAGCTGCTCAAGGACTGTTACCTGGGCTGCCCAGATCTGAGTCCGGCCTTTTAACCCGAAAACCCCTCGGGATGAAGCTTAGAACATAACAGTCCTTCCAGCGAAAGTTGGGGCTGGTCAAATGAACAGTCCTTCCTCCCTTCCCTTCCTCTCCACCTCCATCCCTTCTCCTGCTTCCTTCCTTCCTTCCTTTCCCACCCTCTCCTTTCTTTCCCACCCTCCCACTTCCTTCCTTCCTATCTCCCCTTCCTCCCTTTTCTTTTTCATGTTCCCTTCTTCTCCCTCCCTCGCTTCCTCCTTCCTTCCTTCCCTCCCTTTCCTTTTTTTCATGCCTTCTTCTGTCCCTTTCTTCCCTCGCTCCTGCCATCCTTTTCTCCATCCCTCCCTCCCTCTTTCTTTTTCATGCCTTCCTCCCTCCTTCCTTCCTTCACTCCCCCCCTCCCCTCCTTCCTCTCACCTTCCTCCCTTTTCTTTTTCATGCCCTTCTTCCTGTCCCTCCCTCTTTCTTTCGCTCCTGCCATCCTTTTCTCACTGGCTCGCTCCCTCCCTTTTTTTCATGACCTTCTTCCTCCCTTCCTTCCCACCCTCTCCCTTCCTTCCTTCCTTCCTCTCCTTCTTCCCTTTTCACGCTTCTTCCTCCCTCCCTCCTTCACTTCCTCTTTCCTTCCCTCTCACCCTCCCCTTCCTTCCTTCCTCTCCCTCCTTCCCTTTTCACGCCCTTCTTCCTCCCTCCCTCCTTCCTTCCCTCTCCCCCTTCCTTCCTTTCCCTCCTTCCCTTTTCACACCCTTCTTCCTCCCTCCCTCCTTCACTTCCTCCTTCCTTCCCTCACCCTCCCCCTTCCTTCCTTTCTTCCCTTTTCACACCCTTCTTCCTCCCTCCCTCCCTCCCTCCCCTCTCCCCCT